TAATTTATTTTGAATGTAAATTTTTTTGCTATTTTTATTTATTTTTTGCTATTTTTTCAGTTTACAGAATATTTAAAGGGCTATAACTACGTAATAAATTACAAAAAAAACATTAATTAAACCCAACCAAACTTGTCTTAATAGTATATTTCTTGTTTTTGTTTTGTGTTAATTTTATGTAAAATTTTAAAGTATGAAGTTTAATTTATTTAGTTTTTATTTTTGAATGCTATTCCTTAAATCTTCTTCTATATTTGCTAATATCCATATCCATGTGTGTATAATTTAAAGTCAGGAGGCATGCAATTGAGTTTTCCTGGTTGATGGGTGACTTTAGCTGCTTCATTAAGACTTACACTAGGTCATTTGTGGCACCAGCAGAATTATTGGTGGAATTATGTGGATTATTCGCAGTGTTAGCTGGGTTTGAAGGAGGATTAGCGGGTCCGCGGCTCTGATTCTGCTTCTCCAGATGGGACCATTGTACCGCGCCAGGCATCAATAATGCACAGGGAGCGAGGCGAAAGAGTCTGTGACATTCAGTCTTCAATAATTCAGCAGTCGGCGGGGGACGTTTGAGCCCGCCTGCTTCTTTCTCCAAACATCACCTCGTCGTGTTCGATGAAGGGGGTGGAGGTGTCGGGTGGTGGTCTGTTTATAAAGATGTCACCCTGCTCCCCTTCGGCCTATTCTTCATGTTGTAATCCTGTTGAAGAGTGTGATGTGCTTGTATGCATTACAAGACGCCTCGTATTTCTGTGCGAGTTGTGATTGAGATGATTAGGGTTGACTAGTATGGAATGTTTGGAACGAATATGTCACATCATGAATTTTTTAAAAATCCTATGAAAATTCAGAAATGGCTTAATAATACAAAAATTGTTAAATGAGGAGTTTATTTTGCAAAACAACAAATTTTTTAAATACTTTTTGTCAATTAAAAAATAACTGGTAATTAAAACACTAATTAAAACATTGGTCAAATGCACTGAAAAAAATATTCAATACATTTATTCATTTACCATTTATTTGAGCTAAACTTAAACAAATTAAGTTAAACCTGATAAAATTGTATTTGTTTGGTTAAGTTCAGCCCATATAAATAGTTTGAAACCACTTACTTTAAAAAGTTTTTTTTTTTTAAGTGTGTTTCTTCCAAAAATTATAGAATAATGAATAATTCTGTCGTCATTTACCTGCCCTCATGTCATTCCCAAACAAAAAGAATTTAGCTCATTTTCACAGAATAAATGAAAGATATTTTAAATGGGATTTCAGAAATCCCGGGTCGCTCCATTCTGCTGGTTTTCCCTGAAAACTCTGGCGTTAAAACAGCAACAACAAAACCATTTAATTTAGTTTTATTTTTTCCACATATAAGCATTGCTATTTAACTATATTTAGAGCATTCAAATCTGGGCACAAATGTTCAAGCATGATTGGTTTACAAGCAAGATATTGTGAGTAGGTGTGTAAAAAAAGAAAGCTTAACATTTAAAAAAAAAAAAAAAAAACTTGTGCAGTTACAAAAAACACCAGCAAATTAAGAAAAGATCCTCGTCCGTTTGACGGCATATGTGCTGCATTTTCACACAACTCAAACAAATAAATGAAACACTCTGCATTGTCTCACAATCCAAACAATTTACAAAAACACGCCACATTTTCTCACAACACAAAAAAGAAAAGCACACAATGGAAATGTTTCAAGGGGACCCAAAAGCGTGACGGATGGCACTGTGCTGTAATTATTGCTCAGTGAAGTTGTTGGGGATCTTTGATCTGTTTGTTTTTGTTGCATCATTTGTATAAATTGAAAAAAAGACCCGTTATTAAATACAATTCTCTAGCTTCTGGTCAATTGTAATCCAGACTGAACTTTGCAGATCTTGCGATGCGACTATTGCAGATGCGCACATTGCGATATTGATGCTGAAACGATATATTGTGCAGCCCTAATTGTTCATCATTTTTTACGTGATTTTGTTAAAATGAGCTTATGATATTCAAGAATAACTGTCTGACACACCCTAAAGGCAGTTTTTTATCTAAAAATGAACAAATAACAAATAAATTAGCAGCTTTATGCAATTTTGTGGTTAAACAAGGATCTGTGCGTTTTGGATTTGTTCACTTTTGTTTGTATTATTTCATGTACATAGGTTGTTGTTGTTGTAGGAACATTAGTTTGTCTTATTCAAGGTATTGTTTGCTACACCTGCACTTAGAAATCAACCTCACAAGAATCCAGGTTTATCTTGTTTTATATAACGCTGCTTTATAAAAGGGCTGTACGATTTGACAAAAATCTCTAATTGCCATTTTTATTTATTTATTTATTTTCTGACTGAATTGTGGTTTGATTTGTGATTCTAACTGTGTAAAGTCAGCTTTCAGCTTCAGACCAGTAATCTCAATAAAGTGCAGCATTATTATTTTATACATTAAATGATAGATAGACAAAATGCTGTAACTGTATGTTTAAATATTTATTTAAAAACCGTTTATACATAAATTTTTTTTACACAACAGCTTATTGTAATGTTACAGGATTTATCGTTTTCAAAAAAATCATGATAATCAATCACGGTTCTAAAGATATTGAAAATTTTAACCTGTAGTAGTAACCGCCATAAATTTTACAGGGGTTTATTTTGTCACTGGTAATCGTGACAACACTAAATGTGTCACAATGACCTCTATTTGAGTGCATGTATATTTATGTGTGTTGCTAATGAGATTTATGAGATTGAAATGCTAATTAGATGTCGAGTCAGCTCTCACATTGCATTTCCTGCCTCATAAGTAATGCGTGAAGGCTGACGTCGCTGGATTGTGTCTCTCTACTTCTGTTATCTCTGTCTCCTGCCGTCTTATGCTGTTTTCATCATTCACTTTCTCCTCGCCGGCGTAGATATGAAAGATCTGAGTGAGCTGCCATGGCCTCCTCCGGTCGGGCAGCTGGAGGAGGAGCCCATCTGTGGCGAGCAAGGTGAACTTTGACCCGTCCTCTCCGTTTCTGCCGCTCCAGTGTCCCGCATCTGTTGAGCTCGCTGTTGAGTCACTGCACTGCTCGAAAAAATACCTTCCCGTTTGCTTCCCATTTGATTTAAAACACTCCTACTCAGTGCTGCTCTCATCACAGGAGCATGTGATGAATGCATGAGGTCAGTTCTGTCCTGCAGGCTTGCTTTTACTGGGGATGCACCCAAATTACAGTTCAAGCTTTCACCAGCTTTGCTGTGAATATATTGTAATAGCATCTTAAAAGTGTTCATTAATTGTTATACAGCTCCATTTAACTAAATATAAATAATAGATGAACATTTTACATAGAAAAAAGTTCCTAATATTCATGTAAAATTGCTAATATTAATAAAACTTAATATTACTGTTAGTGAAAATTGTACAAATGTTAAAAACATGCTAACACCTAAGCTAAAATACAAAAAGAAATATAAAATAATTAATGAGAAATCTATAAATAATTATTCTATAAATATTTATATCTATAAATATTAAATTCATATGCAATAACCAACAAATGGCTGATATTAATTCTAGAATCATTTCTCTAAATAAATTAAAAGTCTAAACTTTACATTCAGTTTGAGATTTGTTAATGATTACATAGAAGATATTTTTAAGAGGGCATCAGATGATTAGATAATGTCAAATCCATAAAATGAGCATGTCGAATTAAATGCCTAGCAGTACTAGTATACTTGATATATCACTAACCGATACGATGCTAAAACATTTTAAATCACCGTTTTCAAAGATTGTGTGGCAAAAATAATCCAAATGTAAAAATAAAATGATATAAGAGCATGTGGAGTTAAGTTCCTACCAATTAATGAATGTACATATAAATGACTGATACCGATAATCAGGGTGCGAATTAAGCTAATTAAGACTTGATCCCCCTGGAGGACGTCTAAACAAGACGTCTAAATAACATAAGATAAATATTATTTAATATTGTAAATAATAATGTTAATAATTAAAATAATAGACATCCATTTGACCACTCCTATAATGGTTTATACCATTGTGAATGCATAATTGCGGAAAAAGAAGTTCACAAAACAATTTTTTTTTTCATAAAATAGGTGTTTTTACATATTTCGCTTAAAAGTAACTTTAAATTGTTTAAAAACTTTAAATTGGACGGCTTGTTTGCATAGTTTGTCCCAAAGTATGCCGAAATAGCTGATCAGGTCAGAATACACTAAATAGCCAATACCACAAAACATTGAAAACATACATTTTATGAATAAATTAAATGTAATTTAAATAAACACATGCATTTGATTCCATGAAGCATGTATTACGCAAACTAACATTACTAAAAATCCCAATTGTCAGTGTATAATTCTTACACTGCCGATAATCAGTAAGGTGCTGGTTAATTATACAATGTTTTCACACCTGATGGCAGGTTCAAATTGGGGTCAGCAGTGATGATCTAAATGCAGGAGAGTGAAATAGAGAATAAATTAATAACCGATACCTTTAATAAACAAAATAATATTAAATAAAAATTTTGTAACATTGGTAAAAAATTGGGAAAATTGTATGCTACTAGGTTTTTACACTTGATACTGAATTTAAATTGTGTGTAGTAATGATAATCCAAATTAAATGACTAACGTTAAACACTGATATATACCGATAAATTGTGCATCCCTGGTTTATACTCTTGGATTGATTGTTTGATCCAAACTTCACTTCCCCTTTGGATCAGCAGATGTCTTTCACATTATATTGTTTGGCTCTGAACTCTGTATGTTTCCTTTATAAACATCCCAATTTAATTTCCTACAATCTTACTGTGTTTTTTTTACTTTATTCCTCTTTGCCTTGGTTGAGTTTCCGTCTGCTCTGCATAACCACCATTTTTAAACTTGCATTATAACCTGGCAAAATTTCAATCTCTTTTCTACTGATCTTTTACATCGAACTAATTCTTTCCCCCTCCGTCTCTCTGTGTCCCACAGTGCAGTTTGAGGGTGCCGAGTGGGATCGTTCCTGTTCTCCCACTGAACGCCTGAGGTGCTCCAGGGCTCCGCCGACCACAGGCAGCATGAAGCTCCGCAAGCCCAGTGATCCTCATTCCATGATTGGGGAGAGAGTGGATCCCTCCCTGCCCCTGGAGAAACAAGTGTACGTCCAACATCTTACCACAAACTATTAGAGCTTTCAACGTGAACACAAGCTAAGAAAATGCTGTTTCATAAGAAATGTTATTTGCTGAAGTTCCAAACCTGTATTTACTTGCTTCTGTGGAACTTTTTTGGTTCATATAGTGAAAGTGAATGAAGTTCAAAACATTCAATATAAAAGTCATACCGGTTTGGAAGGAGAACATGAGTGTTTTGTCATTTAAAGGTGCCCTAGAGTGCATAGATTTTATAAGGTAAACTGTTGTCTAATATCTAAATATTGTACAGGGGATTCGCGGGTTCTTAAAGTCTTAAAATGTCTTAAACTTCAAAAACTAAATTTTAGGCCTTAAAATTCTTAAATTCCCTCAAATATTGTGTTGTAGATCTTAAAGGGCACATAGTTTACCCCTTTTTTTATGATTTAATATTAATATTATGGTTCTTCTGAGTGTGCCAGTTTAGGTTCAGTTCAACACACAGTTCAGATGTTTTTATTATAATGTGTTCAAAAGCGTCATGTTGGGGTCGTGTACACAGCTCGCTGTTTTAGGGGTGTGTTGCTTCACATGAAAATTAGTTTCAAATTCACAGCCAACGTAACAAGGGGACAGGGGCAAGAGCTCCCCCGCTCTGTTTTTGGCAACAAACAGGCAGACAGAGAGAAGCAGCATGAGGATATCAGTATTCAGCCATACATGTACGCCTCGGACACAGACCAAGCAGAGAGTACACAATCATTTGTGTCTTTGTACAGTTTTACAGCCACCTGTGTGCTAGTTTAAAGTTCCGAGCTTGTACACCGAGACTAATAACCGCACACACTGAATTAACTTTGACTGAGGCACCGGATGACCCGCTTAGAGTCTGTGACCTCAAGTAATGCAATCGGCTGAAGCTTAAGGTAGACGTAATGAAAAGTACACTAGTTTGCAAAGCTACCTACAAACAAACTAAGTCACAAACAATAATTCCATTTAGGGCGATCATGGGGTGAATGCTGATTTTGTGTTAAGCCCAATGAGCCTTGCATCTAAAAATAGAGCTAGTGTTCCTTTAGTGACATCTCTTTGACTTACACGATGAAAATGGCGCATGTGAAACAACAAACTGAGGATTAGGTGACGCGTGCCTGTCAATCAATATTGGTGGGCAGGGGGACCGCACTCCTACGTCAAGTTGAGGTCGATCTAAAAACAGCTCTAATTGGTCCACTGTTTTTATGTTGTTAAATTGAAAAAAAAAGGACTGGCTGTGTTTATATCACCCCAATATGACGGTCTATACACTATACTTATACACATGTCTGTCCAAACAAATCAATTTAAACAGGTCTTATTTTCCTAAGTCCATGTAAAGCTAACCAATTGGACTATCACTCATTCAATCACATAACATTCCATCGCCAAAGGTTTGATCAAAAGTTTATTAACTCTATTTACCAAAATTGTCTTCTTTACTGTAATATATGTTTTTAATGTTTTTTTAATGCTTTTACTGGGCTATTAAAAAATCCTTAACGTTAAGCCTTTAGCCTTGTGTAATTCTGAAATTTAATTCATAATGGTCTTTAAAAAGTCTTAAATTTGACTTGATGAAACCTGTAGAAACCCTGCTGTAATAGGTATGTAACTTAGATAAGTTCAAATACTGTAAAGAAAATGTTTCATGTTATATTTTATATATATATATATATATTAAGGGTGGAGCCGAACCCGAATACGGTATTCGGAAAGGCACGAATAGCGTGTTTTTACGAATACTTATTTCGAACAAATACTTGAAAAATTATTTGTATTCGGGAGCAAGAAAAGCATTATATCAAAAAACTGCGTTTCCTCCTGAGACCACAGTGCGTGAGTGAGAGAGAGAGCGAGAGAGAGAGAGAGCGAGAGAGACGCTCAGTCGGAGGGCGGGGCGGAGGTAAAAGATCTCTGGCACAGGCTTCTCCACAGCAGCAGACAGAGAAGGCTCGGCTGAGCGAAAAAAATACTTCTCTGCATCACTATTTTTGTTAAATAGATTTTTGTACCTTAATTGGGTTCCAGATGCAGTTTATAAACTTGTAGCGGAGTTTGTTCGGGATTTTCCATTACGCTGCATTTTTGAAGTTTGCAATCGGGTGCTCTGTTTACGCAACGTTAGCTCTGTTAGCGCGGTAATTTAGACAATAGACTGTTGACAGAGTAACATTAACGTTCGTTTATAAAGGTTAAAGCGATGCTTTTGCAGTTGTGTCGAATAGTATGCACTTATGGGAGTTATATGGTACGTCTACATTACTGTCTTTTGCAGACAGCAAGATATATGCTATAGGCTAGTTAACCTCAGCATAGCTTCCCATCACTTTTTATTAACTTGAAACTCCTCAAATACATTTGGGCACCATGAAAAAGAGTGAGACTGCTGCTGAGCCATTTCTTGGTCCTCCACCAGTAAAAAAAATAAAAATTCATGTTCTTTGTGGAAGCATTTTACAGTCAATGGTGCTGCAGATATAACAAAGTGATACTGTATGTGTGCAAAAGTGAAATCAGCAGAGGCAGAGATATTAAACATCTGTCAACATCTTCTATGCATAATCATTCATTTCCTTTTCGGCTTAGTCCCTTTATCAATCTGGGGTTGCCACGGTGGAATGAACCACCAATTTATCCAGCATATGTTTTACGCAGTGGCTGCCCTTCCAGCTGCTACCCAGCACTGGGAAACATCCATACACTCTCTTTCACACACATACAATAGGGACAATTTAGCTTACCCAATTCACCTATATTGCATGTGTTTAGACTGTGGTGGAAACCGGAGCAACCGGAGGAAACCCACGCCAACATGGGGAGAACCCAGTCGAGGCTCGAACCAGCAACCTTCTTGCTGTGAGGCGACAGTGCTACTCACTGTGCCACCGCGCAACCTTCTATGTAATGTATTATCACATGCACTAAAAGCATCCTCTCCTGATACTGTCTGTGAACCCCCCACAAGCATCAATCCCCTCAATCAGCACAGCTATGTTCTGCTAAATCCTCCACAAGCACCAAACCATCAACAAAGCCACATTCTGCCCCAGTAAGTCAGTTTCAAACATAAAAAAGTAAAAAAAAAAAAAACTTTGTGTCTGTTTTGTGGCAGGCAGATGACAATAGCAGGGCTGTATCTTTTAGTATTATATAGAATACTTTTGTTCTGCCAGATCTCCCAGGCTGGGTTTTATTTAGATTTATTTAGCTAATTTTAGTTTTTGGAATTCTGTGCATTGGAAAGAAGTCCTTTTTAGAAGAAGTAGTTTTTTGAAATATTATTTGTTTTTATTCTGTCTATTCAGTGTCCTTCAGCAAGAACGGTGGTGGTGGGGTTTAAAATATTCACAATAGTATTTTATTAGTTGTTGGTTTAACCATGGATGAGATAATGGCTTCTATGTTATTTTCTTTTCAATGACATTTCTTGTCACATGTTCAAAAACAACAACCAATATTGCATGTCTATAATTTATATAATGGGTATAATTAAACAATACTTTCACTATAACGTAAATTAGAAGTGTAATAGAAAAAATATATATTTTTGCGCCATTTTGAATTTTACTCGAATACAAATACAAATATAAATACAAATACTTTTCCCCCCTCAACAAATACAAATACAAATACCGGCTGCTCCGCACATCCCTAATATATATATATATATATATATATATATATATATATATATATATACACACACACACACACACACACACACACACACACACACACACAGTAAATTATCCCTATAATGAAAAGCTCACTTTTGACCATATTTGGAAGGGTTGTGAATATAACTGAGCACTGCTCTGACGCTTCACAGCCCAGATCAGTGCCTGCTTTTTCTCTCCACACACACAAACAGCGTGCTGTGTGATGTACACTGAAATACACACATTCATAATAGTCATTCATTTTTCAAAATATATTTTAACAGCTTGAGTAGATGCTTTAAGTTTCTTCTACTGAAGAGGTTTAGTTAGGAGTGAGTGAGCTATCTTCACTGGCTTAATGTCCAGCAAGCTAAACACTTTTACTCTATAAACAGATTTGACACCAGAAAATCGTAGCTCAGATAATTTACTGAGTAACCTGTGTCAAATAAATAATTATAGTAATTGCTTACATTTATATTGCGCTTTTCTAGACACTCAAATCGCTTTACACATTTTTGTGGGGAATCTCCTCTTCCACCACCAGTGTGTAGCATCCACCGGGATGAAGTAACGACAGGCATATTGCGCCAGATCGCACACCAGCTGATTGGTGTAGTGATGAAGCCAATTATGATATGGGGATGTTTGGGTGGTCATGATTGACAGAGGCCAGTAGGCCTTGGCCAGGATGCCAGTTTAACATCTTATCCGAAAGATGGCGTTCACTGGGCAGTATAGAGTCCCCTTCACTATACTGAGGCGTTAGGACACAATCCGCAGGTTGAGCGCTCCCTGCTGGTTTCACTAACACCACTTTCGGCTGCAACCTGCCTCTCATATGGTCTCCCATCCAGGTACTGACTGGGCGCAACAATGATTAGCTTCAGTGAGAATTGCAGAGAGCTAGCTGCTGGCTAAAACAAAAGTATTGAATAAAAGTTAAATCTAAAAATGTTCAATCTTTCCGCAGCATTAAATATACTAGAAGATGAATGCTTGATTTCAGCTAAAGTGGTTTAAAGATAGTATGATATAAACAAAACTATGTAATTCAAAATCATCTATCATGAAAACTATTGTTTTCATATGTAGTTTTTGATAAACGTCTAGAATAACATAAATCAATGATAATCATACCTTCCTTACAAGCAGTGCCTCGTTAAGTGCTGTTAATACCATAGAATGGTGCATTTGGCAACACAAAACTGCTCTACTGTGTTCGGAAACGGAATAATATGCATTTAAATGGTAGCAAATAAAATTATCAGTTGTGGGAGCGAAAAATAAGTTAAAACAGGAGGAGACAACTGCTTTTTTCATGCTGTCTGAGTAACCTGTTTTTCTCTTCAGTTGTATTGTGGATAAGATATAGATTCAACTATAATTGTAATTAACAAAAGGGACTAACAAAGGTTTATTAAAGTTGATATTGAAGCTTTAACATATATGAAAACACAGGCAAAAATTTATACCAACATCTGCCTAAATGGATGAGTTTTATGACATTTATCTGCATCCTTTCACCCTAGAAATAAATCACAATAAGAGCTAAGTGATATGACACTGAGCATAAACGTGGATGAAACCCATAGGCTTCATTTACACTGCAGATCTTGATGGTCAATTTCGTATTGTGACTGTATCCGATTTTTTTAAAAGGCCTGCTTAAATCATCTTTTAAAAGCGACTCATATCCGATCGTCTGCATTTACAAAGCACACGGCGAAGACGCAATAACCTGGAGGAAAAAAAGAGCGGGCGCTGACTAACAGCTGATAAAGAGTGCTCTTTTCTCTATTCTCTATGTAATCTGTTTGCAGCTTTTGACAAGCTGTTTTACTATAGTTTATGACAGAAAGGTTCTCATTTGTCTATCTTCTTTTGATATATAGGCTTTTTAAACCCTTTAGGCATCTTGTTGTAATGTCCATGGCATGATTCTTTTCATTTGCTACAGTTTTTAATGACCCGTGACTCGCATTGACAAGTGAAAATCCGATCTTTCTGCTTACACTGCAGACATGAGAACACAGATCCGATTCATATCGGATAAATTTCCACATGAACAAGGCCTGAATTTGATTTGAGTAAATCGGAATCCATGTGACTTGTTCCTGCTTACATGTTAGGGTTGGGCATCTAAGCTATAATGCCGATCCGATACGCATCTCGATACAAAGAATACGATCCGATATATTAGCGATACATTTGTGACATATTGCGATGCAACACGATACGATTCACACCCATATCACGATACGATGCGATATTTCAGCACTAACTAATTAGATCAAGTTTATGAGATGATGTGAAAGAGGATGCTGTGCCATTGAATGAGTTTGATTATTTATAAACCAAGCAAAACCAAGACTTTTTTTTACAAACTGACTCTTCTCTCAGAGCCAGACTTTCAGTTTACAGTAGAGGGCCATTTTAGAACCTATAGCACATATTATTTAAGTATTTTCAAGATAAACAGAATGTATAAGTGCAATATATATTAAAAAAAATGTATATATTTGCACTCTTTCAACATAAATAAATTTAGCATTGCACAACAAGAATTGTGATTTAACTTTTCAACTATGAAAACAAGTTTTACAAAGATATATTTTGCCACTGATTATTCAAAACTTAAGGTCGTGAACTAGCAGTGTTATGCTGCTTTGAAACATCACTGTCACTGTAAACAACAGGCTAATAAAAATATAACAAATCAGCAATCTTCTTGCTGTGAGGTGGTCAAACTAACCACTGTGCCACCGTGACACCCAATTATTTTTATCATTATTATTATTAATATTATTATTATTATAATTAAATAAAAATTAACAGGAGGAGGTGTTTAAAACCTTCGTTCTCCGTGACACTAGGCTGAATATCTTTGCAGATGAACAATGCAATAGCATTCGTTATTGGCGTAGAGCGAGCAGAACTGTTGCGCATGGAAAAAAAACTTGCAATGCTTTTCTCACCACTTTTGGAGCTGGTTGAAGCAGTGCGAAAGCCGGGGATGCAGAAACACTGGAAGATGCTTTCACAACAACACTGTGGCGCCGCTTCAAGTGAGATTTCAGATTAGTCGTACTGCCCGCGTATTTTACAGATGCGCGGCACATTTTGCAAATTGCATCTGTCCTGTCATGTCGTCCATCCTTAAATCCATAATGTTGCCATACTTTAGATTTAAAACTCAGTGGGGAATAAAATGTTTGTTTTGCTTCTCGCGCTTTCTGAGGGGGCTCCACTAGCTTCATCCGCACACCTGATACACTGAGTTGTAGTGTGTGCACATCCGCAAATCCGTTGCTAAGGCTTACTTTATGTAGGTCGATTAAATTATGCGCCAAAAACAGGTTGACAACACTTGTTAATAAATAAAAAATACATTCTATATTAAAAATATAAGCTGTATCTCGGAAAAATCGATGCATCTCGCAAAAACCGATGCATCTCGATATGCTTCCACAATTTCATTCATCCTCTGCTGCTCAACCGATGCACTCGCATCGTGCACGCGCATGACCGCGTATCGATATATATCGGTTAATCTTCCCATCCCTATTACATGTACATGAGCCATATCCGATCTGTGCCACATGGGAGAAAAAAATCTGAGTTATGTCACTTGAACAGTGCATTATAAATGCGGCCTTATACTCGGCAGTTTACATGTGTTTATTGCCTCTTTACAAACATACACAGCAAATTTCACAACACATTAAACTAACAAAGGATACATTTAAACAGAATATATGCCTCAATATATGCCTCTTTGGGGGATGCTGAATAAATTTGCAATCCATATAACGTGCATTTTGTATTCTGACACACTGTGAACACTGTGGTCTGCTTCACAAAACTGCCCCTTTTTAGTCTCTCTGCCCATCCTTTTTTAAAATAAGACTTATGCATATCCATAATAAGAGTCTCACAATATTATGCTTGATAAAATCTTAGACATACTTAAAGATAAGGGGAAAAAATCATCACTAGGAAATGTTTTAGCCAATCAAACACAGCCCTGGGGCATGTGTATCAATGATATTATGTCGATCATCAGAGTCAGTTTTTTGTTCGGATTGTTCTAGAATTTTACACTCACAGGATTGGTATGAGAATGAGAAAACAATAGAGTTTGAGGCTCACAGTATGTCTTTCCATGAACTGAACTCCTATTATTCAGCTATGCTTAGGTGTATCATTCTATTCATTCTATGGCACCTCTTAGACAATATAATATCTTGATGATCTCGCAATGTGACGTCTCGCATCTTGCCTAGGGTGTTATTATTTTATTTTATGAGTATGAGAATATGATTTATGGCATGGTGTGCATGGTTAGGCCATTAGAAAGCGCAGTCAAGTGCGTCCAAAATATTGCTGCAGATTTGTCAGCTGTTGAGAAAACAAAATTCCCCAAACACATCACCCTCAGACGACAGCTGAGGTCTCATGAGGAACACGACACACACACTGCTCACTCGCTAAATATTTACAGGTGCCATGTCAGACATGTTTGTGGTATTGATCCTTGCACAAGTCATTTTGCTTTTCAGTACTGCTTTTTGCCCTTGTGGCCTGTTGAAATTAAATAAGTTGTTTTGTTACTGTGCTTCTGTGTATTGACTGCTTTTGTTTTGATTTGCGGTATATTTTGCTTTTTTATTTTGATGTATATTACCATGTATTAAGCGGATTTATTTGATGAGTAAATAATACTAGAATAATTAAGCCATTTTTGTTTGTTTTTTTGTGTCGTTTTTGCGTAATAAATATTATTGATGCTTTTGTTTTTAAAATTTAATGTTTTATTCAATGTGCTACATGCCATTTCTTTCAATTATTTGCGAAGTTTACTTATATCTGACTGAAAATAAAAAACATAAATAAAAAATAAAAATTATTTAGTTCAAATTGAGTTAATCTAGAGGTTTCTAGAGTTTTGGCTAATTATTGAAGTTAAAATATAAATATTAAATATCAATTGTGCTTTTATTATTATGTTTTATGTTTTTTTTTTATCAGTTATACTAAATGAATCATAATCTAAATAACTTTGATTATATAGTAATTATAAGAAAGCATTTTATGTTGCTGTACAATTGATAATACTATTTGTTTATTATTTTTAATTGGTTAATTTAGTTACATTTTTGAAAGGTTAATAAAGCATGTATTTTAATGGTTTGAATTTACACTGAACTGACTGAACTGTACAGATAAAAATTTATTGAAATTTCACTATTTACATCTTTATTCAACCATTTGTAAACAGGAAACAAATGATATAATCATAATCTTTTGAAGCTTGCATTTGTACGGAAATCAGTGATATCATTTAGCTTTAATTTCCTGAACTGTTTGCATGTAAAATGAGCATTAAAATGCCTAAATACTGGATCTGCATTAATTTGACTCTCAGGGGACACCGCAAGGTCTTAAAATGTATTAAATTTAAAAAATAAAATTTTAAGCCTTAAAAAGTCTTAAATTTACAGAAATATTGTGTTGTAGGTTTTAAATGATTTCTAGCAGGTCTTAATTTTAAAAGTTGTCGAAGTAATGTTACCCAATCGGACCGAAACCCATTCAATCACCAACAATCTATCTAAATTTTATGTTTATATTTGTTTATATTTGCTGACATAATATTTATAAATAGACATGAAACTTAAGGTTTTATAACAGAAACGCATTAGGTTAAATTGGAGTAATACTCAATTAATATGTACCAAAAGCAAACAAATATAGTTTGATTATTCGTGTAGTTTTTTCTTCATAATAAATATACTTTTAACAATGTTGAACTGTTATTAAAAAAAAGAAACATTGTCGAAAAAAAGTGTATACAACTAGAGTTTTCTTGTTTTGACACATTAAAATATGTAGTTAAGAAATAACATTTGTTGATGAAGCCTGCAGAAACTCTGCACACTGGTCATGACATCATTTGTTGTTGTTGTGTGACATCACCTGTTTTGTTTCAGATGGTATCATGGCTCTCTGTCTCGTTCGGAAGCCGAGTCTCTGTTGACCCTCTGTAAGGAGTGCAGTTATTTGGTGCGAAACAGCGAGACCAGTCGCCTGGACTATTCACTCTCGCTGAGGTAAAGACTCGCTCCTTTCTTTTCATTTCTCTGCTCTCTCCATTACCGGTAAATGAAGTGAGCAAATCTTCTCCCTATTACCCCATTCCAGCTAATCGTCTTGTGTTTTGCTTCATTTGTGTCTAGTTGTCTGGATCTTAGTTGTTTTTGTTCTTCATTGTTACTAACTTTTTTCCCCACCCTTTAGGTATTTTAAAGTAATTGTATTTTGTAGTTTATGAATGCATGGCTGCATATGAATAAAGAATAATACAGGAGCACTAAGTAAACATTTCAAAGAAATTGCAGAATAGTTAAATGTAATTTATTAGTATTAGCAAAAATATATAAAGTACTATTTATTTGTAAATGCTATTCTAATAATACTGTTTATTTTATCAATAAGTATTTATTCATAAAATTATACATCACTAAAATGACTAATTTTGCAGCCTACATGTCAAATTTAATGCATGAATGACTAATAAACAAAACTCTTCATCAATAGCATTAGAAATGTTTTTTAAATTAACAATTTTAGCAAACATTAACGAACATAGCCTTATTCAAACAGGCTGTCTTAGATTCTTAGAGTCTCATTTCTATGTTATATGTCCCAAATTACAGAGTTTCTGGAACAAAATATTTCAAGTTTTTTCAGCTACACTAGACTTTCCGATTGAACCAGATCCTATATTAATTATATTTGGAGTTTCTGAAGAATTCTTGAGACTTACACAGGTACAACAACAGTTTGTTTCATATGGGTTGATCTCTGCCAAAAAACTCATCCTTTTGTTTTGGAAGAAAAAAAGAAGTTCCAACTCTAGAATTATGGCTGACAGAGTTAACAGGTACACTACATCTGGAAAAAATCAAATATACCTTAATAGACAAGGTTCTGCTTTTGGCAAAATTTGGTCACCTTTTATTTCCTTTTTACAAACTTGTAATTAATATGTTTACTATGCCTTTAGTACCTACGTTTATTGTTGGATAACACTGGTGGGTGGTTGGTCGGGGGAATGTGTTTTTATTTATTTATTTATTTTTATTTTTATTTTTTTATTAGTACTAAGTAATTATTATTTTCATGACTGTTTTTTGTTGTTGTTGTTGTTTTCAATTATTATTTTATTTTATTTACTTTTCAAATCTTTAATTGTTTGAATGCAAGTTTTATGTTTATGTCTACAAAAAGTGTATTTTCAAGTAAATGTCAGTGAAATTTTCTTATAAAAAAATATTGAAACCAAAAACAGGCTTTGGATAAAGGTAAATTGCAATTTTGTCAAATGATACATAGGCGATGATAAGTGGCCTATAGGGAGAAAAAAGTGCAGCGTTGTGCCGCGTCTGACAACTCAAGTTATTGCAAGTTCAATAAGCACTTTCTATATGTCAATATAATATTATTTAATATAAAACTATGCAGATGACGTGGAATAAATTTAAACAATGTTGGAAATCTGCTGCTCTTAAAAAAATGTAAAGCTTCTCAATTTTGTGCCATTTGCTTGATTTTGCGTTACAGATGCAGTATGTCAGTTTGACAACCAGTGGGTATTGCATTCCTGGATCAGAACAAACGCTAGTTTTCCATACTGAGCACCAATGAATCTGACGACTGATTTAAACTGTGTTTTATATAAAGCAACAGCATCAGATTGAAGGACTATTTTCTGAGTTTTTGTTCTAACACCTGAAATTGATATATTAGAAACGGCTTTTATTTCTTGCACCTTCTATTTTCTTGCAACAGAAAACTGACAATGCTAATAGTGCGAGTTTGAATGGCATTTTATATGACATTTAATTTTATATACTGAAAGCATCAGCAGATAAGTTCACCTCAGATCTTGAAAATAAAATAAACCATTTTAAATTGAACTTTAAAACTGAGCCTCAAAACCAACACATAGTGATTGAGCATGTACATTTAATAATGTTAGTTGAAGTGCAGTAAGTGCATATTCTGTGCTTCTGATTGGCTGTATTTAAATTTCTGTTGTATTTCGTCTGGTGCAAACAGCCAAATTGCTAATTACTGCAAATCACCTCACGTAGCTTGTTGTTATGACACAGGGTTTTAATGTAACCTGTTTACCCAATGTTTACGTTCGTTAAATTTATAACCTCATGTGGACGTCTAAATCTGCGTCTTATTACAGATATCCGCTACTGTCCACCGGATGTCGAATTTCGATCGTGGATAAGTGCTTTGAGAGCCGTTCTGAATGAATGAATGAAATACGCAGTTTTCCACGAAGGCAACCTGGGGTGCTGAAATATAATTGGCTAAACTGGCAGTGGGCGAATTAAAAAACTAAAACAAAGACAGCCAATGCAGCACGTTACAGACTTTTTAAAAGCAGAATATCTGACTTTAGCATTGTTTTTCAGATAAACACGAATGATCACTTAGCATGTTTCTTAAATATATGCAAACATATTATGGTATTTTTATGCTTTAGAGGAGTCAAAAACAGCACCTTTAAATTCAGCGATTGCAGAATCGCTAAATTCTGGAGGGATACAACAGTTTTACATGGAAATGATCGTAGAAATTCATCTTTTTAGTCAATGAAAATCAAGGTATTTGACATTTTGGTTATAGTGATGTTTTATTTCTTTTGTAAAAAATAATTTCCAACAATCTTCCTGTGTTCGCTTGAGTTTCCTCCAGGAGCTCTGGTTTCCCCCACAAGTTCAGACATACACAATAGGTGATTTGGGTAAGCTAAATTGTCTGTAGTCTATGTGTGTAATTGAGTGTATGTTTCCCAGTGATGGGTTGCAGCTGGAAGGGCATGCGCTGCGTAAAACATGTGCTGGATAAATTGGCGATTCATTCCGCTGTGGCGACCCCAGATTAACAAAGGGACTAAGCCGAAAAGAAAAGAAATGAATGAATAAATTTCCATAAATGTGGAGTCGTTGTCTGCTCCCCGTTTTTCTTAAATTACCTATTCATACACCATTTGATCTCAAATATCAAATTATTAGATTTTTCTATTGTTTTACGCTTTCATCGTTCTGATTATTGTCTCAATTTTTTATTTAATTTTCTCCCCAGCCTCTTCAGACAAAAACGGCCCTGCCTCATTTGCACACTGATGTGCTTTTCGATAGGCTATCAGCTAGAGCGATAGTGCTTATCTGGTCAAATCTCGCAGCTCTAATTACTGTCTTGATCCAGAGCCCCCTGCTCCCCTCCTCTTTCTTCTTTCTCTTTTATTCTCCCCGAGCTGTAATCAGCCAGGTGAACAGCTCTTCAGTTCACAAAGCTCCTCCTGCTGCCTTTAATGAATATGAATGACCTGCAGAAATCCGCAGAAGTAGCGGGAGGCCTTTCACACACCTGAACACACTCCGTAATCACGTACGCCTCATATTGCAAGAGCACACTTCATAAGTTTTGGGCAAAAACACTCCAGAATGTGTTCAACAACATGAATCATGTTGCTAGGGTGTTCTTGGTGGTTGCTAGGGAGTTTTAGGTGGCCTTTTACACAGTTGAATGCACTCAGTAATCGCACACGCCATATACTGCAAGCATACACTTTTAAGTAGTAGTAAAAAACACTCCAGAACATGTTCAACTACATGAATAGTGTTGCTAGGATGTTCAGGATAGTTCTGGATAGTTGCTAGGGAGTTCTACACACAAATCTCACATTTCAGACACTGAGTACACCCACTTGTCTTGTATTGCAAACACACATTTCATAAGTCATGGGCAAAAGCACTCCAGTTGCTAGGGGATATTGGGTAAGTTCATGGTGTTCTGGATGGTTTGATGGGAACTTGCGGTTGGTAATAGGGATTTCTAAGTATCATTGTACAGACCTGAGCACACTCAGTGTTTTGTACGCTTAGTACTGGAATTTCATAAGTTATGAGTAAAGCAGGGAAAATGAAAGTGATGGGAAAGTCATGACCTGCGGCCAAGTATGGTGGTCCATACGTGAAATTTGTGCTTTGCATTTAACCCATCACATAGAAGTGAACACACACACACACACACCATGAACACACACCTGGAGAAGTTGGCAGCCATTGCTGCGGTGCCTACGGAATCTGAAAGCAGTTTTTGTGCCTTGCTCAAGTGACCTACGTTAGCTGTGGTTTTGAGAGTGGTGAGAGTGTTGATTATTTACTCACAGCACCTACTACTTGAACCTGCAACCCTCCGCTCGAGTCAAACTCTCTGCACAGTACTGTATGCTCAACATGATGAAACGTATTGCTAGGGTGTTCTGGGTAATTGTTTTGTTTTGTGGATGAATTAGGGAATTTATGGAGTATAGGGAGTTCCAGATATCCTTAGTGGTTGTTTTTAGTTATGGGTGGTGGATAGAGAGTTCTAGGTGTTGTGCATGGTCATTAGTTATGGCGGGTTGTGTTTATGGAGTTCCAGGTTTTCTGAGTGGTTGTTATTAGTAACGGGTAATGGTTTGTAAGTTCTGGGTGTTCTTAAAGGTTATCCACTTGTTAAGCGTGACATCACGCGAATCGGCTTCCAGGCCCAATCGCTCTATCAAACTATATGGGGAGAGTCTTCAAATGGTAATATTAAACGTTTATAAAGCGATGCAATACTTTCGAAAATTGTGATCACAATATATATAACCATGCCTAATATCCGATGGACAGAATGGGATCTTTTTTTTATTTTTATAAATTGATAAAATATTGATGTCTGTGATGCAGAAAGTGCAGAATGATGTGTTCTCTATGATTTTATATAAAATTGACTTTAATGTGTGATATGATATATTCTTAGTGATATGGTCATGAACGAATATTTTCTCAATTCAAATGAGTAGCGGCGCGGACCCGGAAACAGTAGCTGCGTCCCAAAACGCATACTTATGCACTATTCTATGCCATTTTGTTGTATAAATAGTGCAAGTAGTGTAGTGCGTTCACACTGAAAACTGAAGAATAATAAGTGCACTTTAATTACCCGGATGATGCACTCATTCAGCCGGTAAAATGAAGTGTGTAATGATGGACACTTCACGCACTCAACGACCGCAGGTTTGTTCACATAGCGAAAGGGGCGGAGCTATCAGGCGCACATGTTGAGTAACTTAATTTATTTTGGATGGTGAAAGCAAAATTCTCCTACGAGAGGGATTACAGCGCCTGCCGATGGTAAATGCGGTTATACTCGTGGCTGGATTATTTGATAGTTTGGTCATTTATTTTACTGATTTGGAGACCGTCAAACGTCATCAGGGAAAGGGTTTGAATTTCCGCTTAGTAAAAAAACTTTAATGTTCCATTTGGGACGACACTACATACATGTACTATGCTGTTGAGTGTGTAAATACATCGTGCATGAGTGTATAGTGTGCCATTTTAGATGCAGCTAGTATTCCGATACATCACTGATCACCATGACTTAACAAGCGGATTAGGTACAGGTGGTGGTTTGAGAGGTTGTTCTGATTGGTTGTTATTAGTTACAGATGGTGAGTAAGAGAGTTCCAGGTGTTCTGATTGGTTGTGATTACATTTAAGTTGTGGTCAAGGAGGTATATAATATAAGTGAATATAAGTGGAATTTTAGGGTGTTTTGATTAGTGAATTGAGAGTTTGGGTGTTTTTTTTTTCTTTTTTTCTTTTTTTTATAAGTCGTTAACAAGTTCTGGGTAATTGCTAAAGACTTCCAATAAATTGCCTGGGAGTTATCGGTGTTTGTTAGGGAGTTCTGTTTAGTTGCTGGTGAATTCCATGTGTTCTTTCGCACACCTGATGACACTCAGTAATAATCATTCACGCCTTATTTTGCAAGAGCAAACTTTATAAGTCACATGCAGAAACACTCCTGAACATGTTCAGCAACAAATCAGATTTGAACAAGCCCCATTCAGACTGCATTTGTTTGACAGCTGTGGGAATGAATGAACGGGGCTGTCTGATGTCATAATGGGGGATGCCAACCGCCTCAGAGGTCTGATCTAAATCAAAGTGACTCCGGCTCAACGCCGAGAGCTTAGAACGAGCCTCCATTAAGATTCACAGGCTTTATTTTGAGCCCAGAACCTTCTATAAGTGACATTGTTTGTCACATACCTGGTAGATAATACCTTTCTGGAGATGACACACTCTGTGAACACGTTAAGTCTTGAATTTTAATGCGCTGCTTCAGAGGTTGCTTGATTTTGAAAAGGGCGTCCTTGTTTCATTAATACTTAAGGTGAACTGTACTGTACGATAAAATGACAGCTTAAAACTAAGCAATTACTTCCTGTTCCCATACATAGAAATCCAGCAGTTTGGACTGAGCTGTCTTAAAGGGGAAGTTGAGAAAAATGTTTACAGAAGGCCACATTTAACTTATGATATTCTTTTAACCATTAGATGTCCTCCTTATCATGGTTAATCATGACTCGAATACAGGACTCCACCTAGGGATCATGTTAAATTAAAGCTTTCAAGTTGCATAATTGGAAAATATCAGTGTTTAGTTTGCAAGTACTATGGTTTGGTGATGCTGTAGTGCCTAATGGTGCTACAGGTATATACATTGTGTATGATAAATCACTTTTTGATTTTTTGACATATTTTGGTTTTTACAGGCTTATGTAATTTTTGCTTTTGATAAAATATCTGTTTTAAATCAGGGAAACGCATAAAACATTCTGATAGGTGGGTCTCCAAGACTATATTGAAGAAACGTTGTTCTCTGGGTTTGCAAGGGTTTTCTGTGTGGTTGTTAGGTGAGAAAACTGACTGTAAAGTCAGACGGATGAACAGAGAATTAGAAAGTTTCTGGAACTGCACCATATCATTAAAGGTGCAGTAGGTGATTGTCTTCAGAAACATTTTTTGTTGTGCTATTTGAAAGTCTCTTCACAGTCCAATAGTAATGATTACAGTAAATGATTTAAATGTGTTTACATGTATTTTTATATTCTGGGTAAAGCATAAAACTAAAAAAATGTTCATCCAAATAAATATTGTTGGAGCGACATCTCCCATAATTCCAATAAGCAGCTCAGACTGTCTGTCAGCAAATGTAGATTCGGACTTCTGCGCATCTGTTCACGCAGATACGCCATACCGCGTGCCCGTCTGCATAATCGCCGTGCGGTCACGAGACAGACAAGGAGAAATCAAATGTTGAATTGAAACTTTTAAAAGTCTGAATCAATATTGGAGTTACTTTAGCACGCTGGAGGAAGGACGACACCATGGCTGAAGTATTACTGTTAGACAGGTAATGTTCTGTTTTAAACCTAAGCTTAGCCTGACTAAAATATGTTAGATTGTGTTGTGTTATGAATGACTTATATGCACAGACGTGTTGTTCAGCCACTGAAATCTCCCAGTGAAAGATTGATGTGATTATTTTCAGTTTCATAAGGTTCTTTTACAGCATCAATAATGTAGATTTATATTTAGTTTCGCAACAAAACATCAGTAAATAGCACTATTCTGCCTAACCTGCTTTATTGAGCTGAAGTTGCTTTTATATTCTTATTGGGTCATTTTTGATTATTTTTAAATATTTTTATAAATTATTTTAATGATTATAAGAATTTTTATAACTGTTCAAGATTTTTTTTTTATCAAACTTTTATGGATCACTTGCTTTTGTTTATATCTTGGACAGTTTTACCTATTAAAGTTTATTATTACAATATTAATAACAGAACATGAGTTGCTATACAAATATTTTTTCATTATGGCAAGAATAAAATATATATATACTTACTAACTAAAATATATATATATATATATATATATATATATATATATATATATATTTTTTTTTAGCTCACTCCACAATTCATACATTACTGTGTGGCTAGTTTCTGCCCTATGCTTATGCTAAAAAGGCAATAATGGTCCAACATTCCTAACCATTATCACCAATAAAGCCTAGAAAAACAGGCCATCAGTATATTGTAAACCGATAGGTTCAAATATTCTTTTCCAGTAATCAAATAAATAATTTGTTTCTTAATTATAGTTTTTTAACTATTAAATTGTTTATATACACATCATTGTCAAACCTATGACTGGTGGAAAAACGTGTTCTGTAATTGTGTACATGGGTCTCTGTTTTTGCCATTTCCTCTTTTGGCTTTAACAAACTTATCCCTCAGGTTTTTCCAAAATTTTAACAAAAACTTTCCTCCTTTTCCACAGCTGTTGCAATTTTTTAGCCAAGAATTATTGATCATCTGGTTGTTTCTATGGTCACGGATCATAAAGACGTCAATACAGTCGTACCTATTTTAGACCAAATTTCTTCAAAGTGGTTCATTATTCAACTCAAATCAAATGCAGCACCACGCTAACTATTCGCTCGAATAAAAAAAAAAAATCATGCGCTCCGCTAGCTGAACTCATGTTGCACGCACCCACAGAGATGACGTGACATTCGCCGCACACACTCAAGCAAACTTCCGGATGCGTCGAGTATAAACCAGGCTTAAGGGGAAGGGCCAGGCTTTTTCAGGACCACACTCGAAACCAAAGGGTTTGTAAATTTCACAAAATACACCATCTACAATTTTGTTTTCATGTGTTTAGATAAATATGGCCGTGGTGTAAATACACAGTACAGTTATGATCTTATTGCCATATTAGATGGTTATGATAACGTGATATTGTTGCCTTTAGTCATTTCCTGAGAATAAATACTAAAAAAATAACGCAACTGGAATAACTACAACAGTCAGGATCATCGATCTCATATGAAGCAAGAAATTGCAATGACATGCAATGAGGATGTGTGCAGGTGTTGTAGTGTTGTCCCATTTCTTAGGGGTACATTTTGAAGCCCTTCCCTTTCACACTCTGTTTCAAGGGTCAAGGGGAAGAGGTACAAAAATAGAATTGGGATTGGGCCTTAGTCTCTAAAAGCAAGACCTTCAGACTGATGGCAGAAGGTCTAGACCTTTTTTCATTATTTATTAGTCAAGGACTGCCCAAGAAGCCACTTGACTGACATGTTATGCAGCCAATCATAATTTGTCTTGTTCAGGGTCAACCTACAATAGCAGACTGGTGTGCAAAAAATGAAGGATTCATTCATCAGTCGTCAAGAGTATTTACCTTGAACTTAACAGGCCTTTGAAGATCCAGCTTTTAGTTGACCTTGAAAAGTACACATCGTCATTTGTAATCACAACTGTTTTCTCCTTCCATCAGGAGGTTTGGCTTTGATTCCAGACAGGCTGTTAAAGAATGACAAACATCTTTCAGAAATCCTGTAGAATTTAACATGTTTTTCATTTTGTGTGCCTTATGCCTTAGTCAATCAGCCAACAGTCCTTGGCCATGATGTCTGGGTTTGAGACTAGGGTATACTAAGTGGTTGCTATGGAGTTCTATGTGGTTGCTAGGGTGCTGCATATCCTATCCAAAAGAGCCTATCCCTTATTCTCTGCGATATCTACAAATATAGCTTGGTTCTCTCCTTCATTGTCTTTTTTGTTGGCAGTTGCATACTCAGGCTTATTTTGTTGCTCTTTATGCCTGAAGATTAATGGCTGTTTTGTATGTTCTTTTTCAGGAGCTGCCAGGGTTTCATGCACATGAAGTTCAGCCAGTGCAAAGACGGCCGCTATATCCTTGGCCAGAACAGCCCTCCATTTGAGACCATTCCTGAAGTGATCCACTATTACACCACACACAAACTCCCTATCAAAGGAGCCGAACACTTGTCCCTGCTCTTCCCCGTGTTGGTTCAAACTCTCTGATTGGTGAAGAGCACTGCAGTCCTCATTGCCATTGATGAAAGTCATTCTTGGATAAACATTCAACAAATTCAGCATCTACTTTTGGGTCCTACTTGTTTTTGATTGTAAAATGGCATCTGGCTGAGAATGTGAACCTTTTAGAAAGGACATGTCAGATCAAATTACAGTTTGATCTGTTCACATGGCTTTTCACATTCTTGTTAATAACACTTTTTCCATTTCACCAAATGACCTTTCTGTGAACCGGACCAGACTGGTGGCAGCCAGACCTGTTGCTTGTTTTCAGTCATCTGCCTGTGTTGTTCTCCATTGGGATGGTAGATTAGCTGTCGCTAATGTTTGTTGATCGATTAGCAGCCCCTTAGGATGAGCAGACGGGTCTCCTCTCTTTTATAGCTGCTGTAAAACACATTTTCACTCAAAGGTTTATGACTATTATCCTCTCTTTTAAATTTGTAAAGCCTTTTGGTTCTACGGAGACCCTTGAGACCACACATGAATGTTGTTTGGGTTACTCAAGACAGTATTCCTCAGAAAATCATGTTAATACTTATGTTTTTGTTTGACCTTACCTTTTAATGTTGAGGACAGTAGCTGAAACCAACTCATCAATGACCGATGTGAGTGTTGACTTATGATCATATGCAGAGTTGTTCTTCTTAATGGTACGTTAGGTCACAGATGAAGTAAAATGCGGAAAATGTGTTTCTTTAGCTGCTGTTTTAAACTGATTTACATGTTGTATAATAAACTATCTAATGAGAAAGAATATTTATATTCTTACGCAAATCAAATCTGGTTGCTACGGTGTTGTTGGTGGTAGACGAGCGAGTTCTAGGTTTTTGGGTTTGCCCAAATGGTTTTAGATAGTTTTGGGATTTTTTCCTTGGTACCTAGTCAATACATAGTCTCCGTAATGGACTGCTCTCTAAGGGTGCTTTTACACTTGGTCCGAATGCCTCATCATCAAGCTGCTGTTTTGTGCACAGCTGTTTGTAGGTGACAACCTCGAAAGCAAAGCACCAAAATAGAGACGTATGCATATCACGGTCGTTCTGCTTTTACTGAATATTTTGGTTTTGTTTAAAACTCAAAAAAAAAAGAGAGGCTCTTTTGTCTATCTGCTGCAAATGTTCAGAAAATCATGCGATGCCTGCAGAAGTTGTTTTTAGTGGAGACGAGCAGACATTATCACTGTTTTCAATGGGTCAGTTCCACTTGTCACCAAGGTAGGTGGTACAGACATACAGACACGAATGAACGTTATAAAAACTAAAAGCTATTGTACAGTTGGCGGTTCACTTCTGTAATTTGGTACGATTGCATTCATATCAGAAGTGAATCGTACTAGAGTACGCACAAACTGTACCCCAGACCACCTCTTTCGGCTAGACTCGGGTACGATTCACGGGTGCGCACCGGGATTCAAAACACAGCGTTCACACTAGCTAAACATACCATACTCTGACGAAGGGCTACACGATTAATCAGAAAAAAGACTGCCATCTCGATTTGACCTTACACACAATCTTAATTCTGCTTTTCTACAATTGAGCCAATTATATTTTCACATAAAGGTGGTCGCTCATGTCTTCACAGCAAAATGGATGCCTCTAAATGGCTTCAAAAGTGTCACATACTGTATTTAATAGGTATAATTCACCCAAAATGAAATGATGTATTCGTGGCCACACATTAGCTGACGCACTGTTTGTTTACTACCGAAAGGACGCACGCGCGCGTGCCTGACAATGATGCCTACTTTATTAAACTGATCCTGCATAGGCTGTGAAAAACATCTAATAAAGTTGTAAATAATGTTCAGTTTGTTGCACAGAGCGATCGTTTGAGAGCTGCGTGGGAAGTATGATTTGCATGTGTTTTTTCTCACAGTGACGGCAGCCACGAGCCGCACACGGAAGTGAAGTGAAACTGGCTCACACGGCATTTAAATGATCATTTCGTATTTTGAGTTTACGACGAGCATTTAATATGTTTTTATAACAAATGTTTACCAGGTCAGTATAACTACTCTAGCTTATATAACATTGAACATAATGCAGGCCTAATATTGTTGTTTTTTTACCATATGTTTGAGAAATAACAATAATAATAGCCTACTCATATTAACCTTTATTTTACATCTACCGAACCAGAAGAAAATCATGATCTTGATTTTAAGCCGAAAAAATTGTGATTTTCATTTTAGCCAGAATCTTGCAGCCCTATTCTGACGTCAAATGAACCTGTGTGTGGCCCAATAGTGCTAATGTGAAAGCACCCTAAATATATCTCAAGACACTTTTTCAGTGTTTTTTTTTTTCCAGGCAATCTTCTTTTTATCTTTCAGACAATCAAAAATCAGACCACTTAAAAACGATTAGCAGCGGAGAGTAAATCCCGCAAATCCTTGGACTGTAGTTAGCCATATTGATACTGTATCAAGCACCAGTAATCAGTTTAATTGCTGTAGCTTTCCATGCATATTACGTTAATAGCTTCACGTTGTCTATTATCAAGAGACAGAGAAGATGGTGTTGAGATTGACAGAAAGATATGCTAATGGTTACTACATGTTTTATCCTGGGAACACATGCCATGCACCAAAAGATAGCAAAGATTGAATGTTAAGCAAGAGTGTGAACATTATGCTTTTCCCATTGCAACCCAATAGAAGACCGTCTTCCTAAATCAAGAGATGGCGTTTGTGTGTTCGTGTGTGTGCGCTTCCTCATTATCTCTGTTCTGCCGAAGCGAAGCATTCGGGGATTGCTTTCATTACACTGCCAAATGAAATGGCGAAGAATGATTACTGGTGTGACGGGCAGAGAAGGTGGTTCAGATCAGTCCTCGTCCCTCCAACTTCAGTAAGGAAGACTGTGAGATGAAATCAGCCAGAAATTAGGGGTTATTTCCAAGCACATTTCTTTAAAGCAGAAACATTTACGTGCTTTGAGATGTCTATCACAATATAAGATATCCCTCACTAGTGTGCGTATTTGGCAGCAGATGATCATCCATCAGATGCGCTCACTGAAAAGACACCTGTGGTCCGAGTGGAGCCAGGAATTTCACACTCAAACTGCACCAATCAGGACCAAGCCCAAAACTTGGTATCCTAAAGCGGATGGCATCCAAAAGCTTCTGCATAGGCTACTGGTACAGATTGTTCCCAGCTGCTCTGACACACATCCAGGCATGTCCACATGTGTGTCTCGAGCGCCCCGTATCACATTGTCTGAGACAGACACATTAATCTCCCTCAGACATTCCACAAACAGGCGCACACTCACTCTCGGAGGGAAAGCCGTTTCGACAGGTGTGTCTGCTAGACTGTAACCAGAGATCGGTCAAATTTTAAACAGCTGAAAGGGGGGGGCTCATCTACCGTGTCAATACCTCAAAAGCCCTATGACGTCTCCTTCACAATACACGCTGTGCTAATTCTTCTAGTAATTAGGCTCTTACTAGTCATGGAATAATTAGGCCTTACAAAGAGAGGCATTTCTCAGCCGCAAGCTCAGACAAAAGCAGAGCACTGAAAAGGGGGCCCAGATGTGCACCAAAGGGTGGAAAAAAAAATCAACAGTGTTCATGTAGACTATCCTTATCACATTACTGGTGCTTGAATAAGGTGTCATGTGGATTTCATTACTGTGAGGACTGGCAACTTGGACCATCTGTGAATTTACTGACATCTGACCTTTGAACCCTCACCCACCCTTATGGGCAGCTGGCCGTAATAAAGACTTCATCCCGGAGAGCTTATCTCCTAAAGCCCAGTCAGATGCAGTTTGCATATGGCTGCAGCTGAAGGCTATTGTAATTGACTGAAAAAGACAGGGATCTGGGGAAGGACTCAATGTATCCTCAGTTCTAGCTCAGAGGATAAAGTTAGGTGATCCACAAAAGCCCAAGTTTCAGGATAGTTATTAGAGTGTTCATACGATGTGATTAAAGTAACGGCTCCTGGTTTAACTTTTCTGGTCCTGAACCATGATTTTTGTCAAATATATCTTAGGCAAGATGCAGTACGTCTCTTCCAGATTTGCCCCTAAAATCAAGGAGGCAAGGGTTCTTGCAAACTTCAGAGGTTACTTAAGTAAAGCCCTGCTCACACTGTGTGATTTCAGTCACGATTTGGTTGTCTGAAACAAATTGGGGAAATCCTAAAGTATTTCTGTGATCCTACACCAAAATCGGGGGATTTTGATCATTGGTTTGACATGTTCAACAAAAGCTGATTATTGGCCATTGCGATAAAATTTTCCCTTTGAATTTAGACACTTTCCTGCAGTGTGACTTGAGCCAATTGCAGCACCATCAGCTCAAGAACTTTAAATCACCACAAGGAAAACTGGTTTTATCATCAAGGCCTGCTTTGAGCTAAATTTTCACCACAGATTGCTTATGTTTGCTGTGAGGTATCATTTTTAGAATACAGGATACGTGTAACGTCAACCTTTGGATGAGTTTTCTTGCAAGTCTGTGTTTGGCAGGCATTATTGCCATTGTCTAAAATTATGAAAACTGGGATCTTACAGTGTGATGTGGATCATGTTTGTGCAGTTTGGCAAACTACAATTGTATCACATCGAGCTGGGCCTTAGCTGTATGCCAAATGACCCATTTCCACTGAGTATGGTACAGTTTTATGGCTGTTTCCACTATCAAAAGGTATCTAAAAGCGAACCGAACCACTTTTTGGGTACCCTTTGCAAAGGGTACCTAGCACAACAAATGGGTACCAAAAGGCGGAGCTAGATGCACAACTGAACGCTATTGGTTTACAGAGATGCGTCACTCACTCGTGCAACAAGCCAAGAGAATGAAAACAAAGGAACCAGCAAATAATAACGAGCCATGTTTGACCCAAGCTTAAACAAACCTTGTGATCGTCTTGATAAACAGCCACAAAGCCAAGAAGAGCAGAATACCCTGTACCCCGTTGTTTTTTTACAAGGCTGTCTAAAGGCTGTCTGCGTGCGTTCGCTGCGCAT